GTTTTATGTTACAGGAATAAATCAGTGTGTGTAGATGAGAGGAATGCTTCTGGTGAAGGAAATGCAGACTGATTGTTCCCAGTGAAACTGAATTTTCATCGTTATTGTAATCTGTAATTTTGTCTTTATTTGTAACCTTAAAGTGCCTTCTTTCTCGTCCTAATTTATTGGAAGAGCTTTAATTAATAACGTTTTTTGGTGTGATTTGTATGCCACTACTACCGACAACAAATACAATTACAAAATTAATGTTTTTAAAAAAGTATAATATTTTGATAAATAATGACATCGTTCTGAATATGTGGACATAGCTGGGCATTATATTCCTTCCAAATAAATATGATTTCTGGACATTTTTGTCTGAGTTTTGAAAAGCAAATGTTTAAAAGCAAAACTTTTTATTTAAATCGCTTGTTGAAATGTGAACAGAAGATGGCAGTGTTGAGTTGTGATAGATATGGATGAGGCAAGCCATTTAACTGGCATATTTTCACACAAATGTGAATCTGTGAGGGTTTTACAGTCCAACTCATGAACTATTATATAAGCTTTATCATTAAAATACTAGGTTACTACCTAGTGCAGCAAGTTGCGCTTAAGTACCATAAAATAATTAGCCAATTATGACTCGTTAAACTGAAAAACAGGTTCACTTAGTTTATTCTTTTTCTTTTGGTTCACAAACGAAAGGCACCCATTGATTTTTAACCCTCCACTGACATTTTAATGTAGCAATTACAATTCTCCCAGAAAACAGACAGCATAACATTGTGGGGAACGGTTCACTTATTTCTTGATAGTTACAGGATATTTAACAAAAAAATTACATATAATTAAGGCAGACAAAAAGAAAGGGAAACAATCTACATTTGTCCCATCAAGGCCTGACTTCAGCTTGATCTTAAGGAAGAAAATGTTATAAAATACTGTGGGAAATGAAACATGAGGTGACCTGACACACACACACACACACACACAAAAGAAACCCTATGAAGCTTAATTTTGCCCATCACAAAGAAAACTACAAAGATAATGATGACTATTATAAAGATAATAGATGACTATTATGGGGGGGGCGCGCGCAATATAGTTTTCCTTTATTTTACCCTATTTTGGGGTAAAAATATACTCTTACTGAGACCCTGATTACACAAAACTCGTTTTCAAAATCACTATTCCACTCAAACTCCCACATAAAAATATGGATCCTCACAGAAGCGCTAAAATGAAGGCAAGGATTTTTTTTTTAATCAGTTAACAGAAAAGAGAATAGTTGATCTATAATCCACACAGTTAGTAACAATATCCATCAACTAGCGTTTCCTAGTATGATATTAAAGGGATAGTTTACCCAAAAATGATAATTTGATGTTTATCTGCTTACACCCAGGGCATCCAAGATGTAGGTGACTTTGTTTCTTCAGTAGAACACAAACGAAGATTTTGAACACAAACCGTTGCAGTCTGTCAGTCATATAATGGCAGTGAGTGGGAATGGCTTTGAGAGTCAAAAAAACATACACAAACAAAACCAAATTAAACCCTGCGGCTCGTGATGATACACTGATGTGAAAAGACATTAAATGATCGGTCTGTGCAAGAAACTGAACAGTATTTATATAGGTTTTTACCTCTGATTCACCACAATGTCTGAACTGTCCTGAGCGCGTTCTCAACAGCCGGCACGTGACGCGTCTTCTTCTTCTTGCTTTACGGCGGATCGCAGACTTATAAGTGCATTACCGCCACCTATCTCTCAAATGGACCATTGACACTCCTAATTGAGATTGTAGATAAGAGTGTCAATGGTCCATCATCAGCCATCGTCACGCGCCGGCTGTTGTGAATGCGCTCAGGACAGTTGGACATTGCGGTGACTCAGAGGTAAAAAGATGTTCAGTTTCTTGCACAGACCGATCGTTTCGTGTCTTTACACATCAATGTATCATCACGAGCCGCAGGGTTTAATTTGGTTTTGTCTGTGTACGTTTTTTTTACTCTCAAAGCCGTGATTCCGATTCACTTCCATTATATGACTGACAGACTGCAACGGTTTGAGTTAAAAATCTTCGTTTGTGTTCTATTGAAGAAACGGTCACCTACATCTTGGATGCCCTGGGGGTAAGCAGATAAACATCAAATTTTCATTTTTGGGTGAACTATCCCTTTAAGCTGTGCAAACAGCTTGGCTTGTATGACAAACATAACTTGACATTGTGATCCGAAGCACGTGTGCCCATAAAAGTAGCCTATACGGTGTATTTACATCTCTTCGTTTCACTTGTCATTTCGCGTCATAAACAATTACTTCCTATTTATTTCAAACATGAAAAATACTTGGTAGCAGACAATGTTAAATTACAGTGCTTTATCTAAATAGAATGATATAGAAAACATACATCCATTAGCTCTTTTGCATGACTTCAACATTCAGACAGTTCACAAAATAATTTGGGTGAAAAAAGGAAAGAAGAACACAAATGATCATTCACCCTCTTCTGATACGGACTCGATCGAAGCGCTAAAGAACGTAAAGACGCTAAATTAGCGTACATCTCACGTACGTTTTGAAAGCCGACATTTTCAGACAGCTTTATGCAAAAGACAACATGTTTTATGTACAAAAGCTCATAACCTGAACACTAATAAATAATGGCAAGAGACAATCTTCGCGCTTTATAAAACATGAGCGGAACAAATCTGTAAATTGTTTGTAAAACATCAACGGCTGTTGACGAACCGTCGATGCAAACCCTTCTGCTCATGTTTATAAATAAGTAGTGCTGTCAAACGAATAATCGCGATTAATAGCAACCAAAATAAAGGTTTTTGTTTATATAATATATGTGTGTGTACTGTGTAGATTTATTATGTATATTTAAATACACACACATGCATGTATATATTTAAGAAAAATATGTTATGTTTAAACATTTAAAATATTTATATATAATGTCAATTATATTCATATAAATATATACATGGAATTATTTTCAAAATATATACTGTATGTGTGTGTATTTATATATACATAATAAATATACACAGTACACACATATTATATAAATAAAATCGCGATTAATTGCAATTATTCGTTTGACAGCACTATTAATAAGCCTCATAATTCATAAAAGGCAACAGGTTTAAGCAGGTGAACAAACTGAGGCTTGCCTTTTCTAGCATTTCTGGGGAAAACGAACACGTTTATTAATATCAGAGAAATTTTGACTAAAAGCGGTTGATTGCTTTCACAAAAACATCAAGTAGTACATAAAAAATTTATTTCAAGATAACATTTTGGTATTGACTGAAGAAGAGATTTTGAAGACAAACATAAGGCCTGGAATCAGACACTCGAGACGCTTATTATTTGGTGACACATCAATCACTTTCGTCTCAAAGATGGTGAGAGGTATCGGAAAGAAGTAAGGCAAAAGACATGAATTGTATAAAGACATTGGGCACATGATGAAGGTAATTTTTAAATTGTAGGCACAGAGCTGAGACAAAGCCATCTCTCATTTTTTTCCCCTCCTTGTGCTTCGTTGATTACAGTTGGAAAGGGGCCAATGCCGCCAACAAGAATGAGCAGGTATGCAAACTATAATAATCAAGAGTCGCCCACAACCTGTTTGCGTTCAGGATGTGCAACAGGCACAGTAAGTGCTCAAACGCTCTCGGCACGAACGCAGTCGCTCTCATTGTGCTGAGAGAGCTTCATAGACCTCGAGCCCTGACAATTCATGCTTTCTACATAGCAGTTGAGTGCACTTGCACCCTGTGATGTTGAGGGCGCATTTACGCAGGAAGAGAGGATAGCGGATACTACGCCCGTACGCTTGACCCTCAGAGTCTGGAGTATCGCAAAGCAGAAGTGTGTGCATAGCCGTCGGGAGAGAGGGGTGGGAAAGGACAGTTGGGGTGGATTCAGTATCTCATGGTGCTGGAGGCTCTGAAATAGGAGAGAAACTTGAAGCACAAGCTGACGACGAAGTACCAGATGTTTCTGGCCATCTGCGAACGGGCGATGAAAATGCGCCAGATTAAGACTACCAAGATGGTGTTGAAAGTGTAGCGAATGTTCCGCAGCCTACAGGAAAAGAAAACAAAGAAAAATTGACAAAAAAGAAAAAGTTTCACATGATCCTTCAGAAATCCTTCTAATATGCTAATTAGCTGCTCAAGAAACATTTCTGATTATTATCCATGTTGAAAACAGTTTTTGTTGCATGATACACTACCATTCAATGGTTTTGCAGTAAGATTAAAAAAGAAAAAAAAGAAAGAAATTAATAACTTCTATTCAGTAAGGATGCATTAAATAGATCAAAAGTGACCGTAAATATATTTATAATGTTACAAAAGATCAAATTCAAATAAATGCTGTTCTTCTGAATTTTCCATTTAAAGAATCCTTTTAACATTTGATTAGTTTATAACATTGATAAGAACTATATTAATAATTGAGTACCAATAATAATTGATAATAAATGAGCAGCAAATTCAGTATATTAGAATGATTTCTGAAGGATCATGTGACACTGAAGACTGGAGTAATGATGATGAAAATTCAGCTTTGCATCACAGCAATAAATTACATTTTAAAAAACAAATCTGTAAATTGTTTGTAAAACATCAACGGCTGTTGACGAACCGTCGATGCAAACCCTTCTGCTCATGTTTATAAATAAGTAGTGCTGTCAAACGAATAATCGCGATTAATAGCAACCAAAATAAAGGTTTTTGTTTATATAATATATGTGTGTGTACTGTGTAGATTTATTATGTATATTTAAATACACACACATGCATGTATATATTTAAGAAAAATATGTTATGTTTAAACATTTAAAATATTTATATATAATGTCAATTATATTCATATAAATATATACATGGAATTATTTTCAAAATATATACTGTATGTGTGTGTATTTATATATACATAATAAATATACACAGTACACACATATTATATAAATAAAATCGCGATTAATTGCAATTATTCGTTTGACAGCACTATTAATAAGCCTCATAATTCATAAAAGGCAACAGGTTTAAGCAGGTGAACAAACTGAGGCTTGCCTTTTCTAGCATTTCTGGGGAAAACGAACACGTTTATTAATATCAGAGAAATTTTGACTAAAAGCGGTTGATTGCTTTCACAAAAACATCAAGTAGTACATAAAAAATTTATTTCAAGATAACATTTTGGTATTGACTGAAGAAGAGATTTTGAAGACAAACATAAGGCCTGGAATCAGACACTCGAGACGCTTATTATTTGGTGACACATCAATCACTTTCGTCTCAAAGATGGTGAGAGGTATCGGAAAGAAGTAAGGCAAAAGACATGAATTGTATAAAGACATTGGGCACATGATGAAGGTAATTTTTAAATTGTAGGCACAGAGCTGAGACAAAGCCATCTCATTTTTTTCCCCTCGTTGTGCTTCGTTGATTACAGTTGGAAAGGGGCCAATGCCGCCAACAAGAATGAGCAGGTATGCAAACTATAATAATCAAGAGTCGCCCACAACCTGTTTGCGTTCAGGATGTGCAACAGGCACAGTAAGTGCTCAAACGCTCTCGGCACGAACGCAGTCGCTCTCATTGTGCTGAGAGAGCTTCATAGACCTCGAGCCCTGACAATTCATGCTTTCTACATAGCAGTTGAGTGCACTTGCACCCTGTGATGTTGAGGGCGCATTTACGCAGGAAGAGAGGATAGCGGATACTACGCCCGTACGCTTGACCCTCAGAGTCTGGAGTATCGCAAAGCAGAAGTGTGTGCATAGCCGTCGGGAGAGAGGGGTGGGAAAGGACAGTTGGGGTGGATTCAGTATCTCATGGTGCTGGAGGCTCTGAAATAGGAGAGAAACTTGAAGCACAAGCTGACGACGAAGTACCAGATGTTTCTGGCCATCTGCGAACGGGCGATGAAAATGCGCCAGATGAAGACTACCAAGATGGTGTTGAAAGTGTAGCGAATGTTCCGCAGCCTACAGGAAAAGAAAACAAAGAAAAATTGACAAAAAAGAAAAAGTTTCACATGATCCTTCAGAAATCCTTCTAATATGCTAATTAGCTGCTCAAGAAACATTTCTGATTATTATCCATGTTGAAAACAGTTTTTGTTGCATGATACACTACCATTCAATGGTTTTGCAGTAAGATTAAAAAAGAAAAAAAAGAAAGAAATTAATAACTTCTATTCAGTAAGGATGCATTAAATAGATCAAAAGTGACCGTAAATATATTTATAATGTTACAAAAGATCAAATTCAAATAAATGCTGTTCTTCTGAATTTTCCATTTAAAGAATCCTTTTAACATTTGATTAGTTTATAACATTGATAAGAACTATATTAATAATTGAGTACCAATAATAATTGATAATAAATGAGCAGCAAATTCAGTATATTAGAATGATTTCTGAAGGATCATGTGACACTGAAGACTGGAGTAATGATGATGAAAATTCAGCTTTGCATCACAGCAATAAATTACATTTTAAAATATATTCAAATAGATAACTGTCCTTTTAAATTGTAATATTATTTTATCATATTAGTGTTTCTACTGTACATTTAATCAAACAAATGCAGATTTGGTAAGAATAAGAGACAAAAAAAACTTAATTATTCCACTTTTGAACAGTAATATATTTCACATATTTAAAATCACTAAAAACTTATTAGATATTAAAATTAATATTAATATATATTACATTGTGTCATGTTAAATAATACATATTAAAACTAATATTAAAATTCTGGCCAATACTGATAAGCCAGTCATTTTTTCCAAGCTATGGCCGATAACAATAAATGGTTGATATTAAAATTCCATACTAATTTGTCTAAATAAATTAAAAATAATACTAAAATTAAATATTTGAAATTACAGTCTTAATTTTTTTAAGATTAACTAAGGGAGCGTTAGATTATGAAAAATTTGTTATGCAACTGATAACAATAAATTAAAAATATCTCATACTGGCCAATTACCAGTATGATACTGATATATGATGCATTCCTAGCCACAAAAAACCCCCTAGTGTTAACCGGCCAAAAGTGAGGTAAAGTCACATGACTTTGCCTATCTAGGAATTTATTCAGAAAACAAGTTTCCATCAGACTATAAAACAAGTGAATAAATGTATCCACCTCAAGCAGGCATGTATGTGCATTGTGGAAATTGAATGCGCATCTTGGAATTTCCATTTAGAATTTTTATTCAATATGCTATATTTCACATATGTAAATGGAAAACCAAATGCTTACATCTATTCGCAGCGACCAAAAGTCATTCATGTCTCTGTCCCACATGAATGCCACAAAGTTGAGCAGTTGAATATGACAGCGCAGCAGCTACCATATTACTGTGAATGTCCCTCTAGTTTATTAGTTATCCTGAAGGTAACCTAGACAACTTCAATACTTACTTGGTCAAGTGTTTGCGTGCCGCCGGGAGTCCTGACAGCTCTTCATTGAGAACATACTTTTTAGTGCCCATGCAGTAATTCTCCATGTATTCTGCCCAGTGTAACTGCCTGACGTCAATGTTAAATGCCTGAGCAAGAAAAAGAAGTTTAAGACATTCATTGAGTTCAAGCATTGATAAAAGTCAGAGCCATGAGCCACTTGAATGGATGTTTCATTGACAACACATTTTAAGTGACATGATTCAGAATCACAGATGCGACTCATTTAACTGTGCCAATGGCAGACTGTGAGTGTATTAATACATAAACACACACACACCTTCTTGTCCTCAGATCCCATCTGGTTCATGAGCATGGTAACGTTGTCCATGTTCCACACCCATGAGTGACTCGTGAAGTACTCCAGCACCATCATGGCCTTGTGCAACCGAGCGATTGTCTTCATCATCCTGCGTCGCCACGGAAACAACGCAGGGAGCGAAGGGAGAAAAGGAGAGACATGTGAGCGTTAGCTTTAGATGAGCTTGGATGGCTCTCGTTTAATCCTCAAAAGGGCAAGTGGTTTAATAAGAGCAGATGGTGACAGACTACGTCAGTAGTTTGAAGAAACCACAGCTTGTAAATGACTTAATGTTTAGTGATAGTAACAAAACATTTAATTCTATGCAATGTTCTATTATATAAAAAACAGAGGTTATTAGTGAAGCCCATTTCTGCCTCATAGTAAAAAAAAAAAAAGTGATATAAAGCTTAAAATATGAAATATTCACAATGTTTGATATCACCTATCAATTACGAGAAATAAAGTTGCAATTGCAAGATATTAATTTGCACTGTGAGACAAAGTCATAAATACAAGAAATAATTTTGTTTGTTTTTTTTCTTTTACTTGAAGGCAAAAAACTGGCTTCCACTGGTTAGTTTTCCCAAATAAAACAAAATAAAAATGAAACAAATAAAATTTAAAATAAAGAAAGAGAAACAAATTGAATAAATTGAAAAACTGAAAAGATTAAACAAGTAAAATAAAACAAACTAAATAAAAATGAAACAAATAGAATAAAATAAAAACAAACAAAACAAAAATAAATATTAAAAAGTAAAATAAAACAAAGATCAAATAAAAACAAAAAACACAAACAAATACTCCTCAGTTAGTGAAAAATAATAATTCTCCAACCCATTCATTCTGTGGTGTATTTGATTCAGGTTAGATCCCACTGCAGCACTTTTGAACCACAAACCTTTGGCAAACACGACTGTGGATTCCCATGATTTGGCTGAACAATGATCACACTGTTAAAACCTTGCAGGACCTTGTAGGGCACCTGGGCGCATTTGTGTACTTAAGATTCTTGATTCTTTCTGTGTGATGCTATGTGTACCTCTATAAACTCTACCAGACGTACAAGTATGCCAAATTTCAGGCTTTATCTGACAAAGCACTGTTGAAGTTGAATGCAAATGTCCAGAAACGCCCAGTTTCCCCCATCAAGATCTCTTATGGGTTGGATAGGGAATGACTACATGCATTGTATTAGAACACCTCATTTTAAAAATCAAATTCAAAACATTCTCATGGTGTTAAAACCAATCAATTATACAAACACTTGCACCTTAAACCAGATGCATATCAGCAATACACAACAAATTCATTGAATCTGCATGAGCAGAAAGTAACATTGAACTGAAAGACCTCAGATTTAAGGTGCATAACCCGTCGTTTCATCTCCAGGTACCAAACACATCTACTTCCTACAATTAAAAGCATTTTTGCATGAATGGATAATTGTCAAATATGCATCCAGTGCAACTTGTAATTTCTATCTTGGTGGGTTAAACCAGAGGCTTTCGAACCGTTTTAACACCAAGGACCATCTTTTTTGAAAGACCACCTTTTTAAGAGATACAGGCAGCTGTATATTAGTGAATATGAGTAAAGAAGCGTTTACATTGGCGTGAGAAAAATAATAGTACACGCATTGAGACATATTATAAATTAATAATTAAATATATTTTTTTTTAATATATATTTTCACTGTAAAAAAAAATCATTACATTTCGAGAATAAAATCATGTTTCGCGAAAGAACTGAGAAAAAAAGTCGAAATAAAATGTTGAGAATAAACTCATAAAATTTCGAGAATAAATTTGTTGTTTCGAGGAAAAAAGCATGTTTAATTTTGAGTACAAAAGTCAAAATAAAATGTTGAGAATAAACGTATACTTTGAGAATAAACTCGTGTTTCGAGAAAAACTTGAGAAAGTTTGAGAAAAAAATGTGAAAATAAAATGCTGAGAATAAACACGTGTCATGTTCATTTGATCTCGTTGGACAGTGTTAAACTGCATCTGCAGTGGCATAGGTCGTAGAGAGTAATGCTCGTGGACATTTTTCTTGAAATTTAACATCCTTTTCTCGAAAATGAACAAGTTAACGACTTTTTTCTTGAAATGTAATGATTTTATTCTCAACATTTTATTTTGACAGTTTTTCTTGAAATTTAACGAGTTTAATCTCGCATTATACTGTAATGACTTTTATTTCAAGATGGTTTTATTTTTTTTATTATTGCTTGGCCCTAATCCTCTTCCATAGAAAGTTATATAAAGAGATATAAAGAGAAAATATTTTTAATTTAACAGTATAACATTTTTTATCTTGATTTCAGAATAGTCTTTAGAAAACAGAATCAAAATTTGAAAAAAATGAGCACTGTCAAATTAAAACACATATTGCCAATAAAACACATTACAGTTTAACTTTTGCGGGAAAAAAATATAAAATTATGTACAATTCAAATACATTTCTAAATTATTATAAAATGTATAAACAATTGTATAATTTAGTATATAGTCCCGGACCCAAGTTTGAAAACCACCGAGTTAAAACAATTCTTAGAGCAGAGAGTTTGGTACCTGGCCCCATTATTTATGAGTGCTGTTCTCGGATCAGTTTGGCTTTTTGGATGGAAAATATTAGTGCACTTGATCTGAGCTGAGCACTCTGACCTGCTTAGTGAGTAAAGGCTGTGTTAACCAAACTATCATTCCCAACATCCACTATGTATTCATGTGCTACAAGAGCAGACCAAAAGACCTCTCTTGAAGACTTAATGGCATGGCTCAGAAGAAAAAAAACCAAAAGATGGTATTATGGTATGGATCCATCTCCTTTTCCACAAAAAAAAAGCGTGCAGGACTCCATGCACTTTATGGAAGCCCGGCAGCAGCGTTTGTCCGATGCCATGAAGTCGAGCAGATGGCCAGGCTAGGTGGTTCCTGAGCGGTTCCTTCCCAGCCGGCCTGCCAGCCATGCCACACCACGCACCCAACACCCAGTGCTGGAGGTGAGGGAGGGGAGGAGGGAGGACAAAGGGGTGGAGAAGCGGGTACTGAAGACCTTACCGGGGCTTCTGACCCGTCAACATGAGAAACCCGTCATACAGCAGGGCAGGAAGGGTGTGACTCACTGTGGTCCAGTACTGATTGGTAAAAGGGTTGGATCGCAGGTTAACATTGGGGCGTCTGAAAGCCTGTTCTAAGGGGTTGGTCTTGAACGTCATGTTTATGCAGTACTCTGTGGAGAGGAATACAGGCATACAACATACAAGAGCATTTTAAACACAGAGCTACACAACACACACGGATAAGCACACACACACATGTGGGCGGGAAGTGTGCAGAACCCAGTCTCCGAGTGGGTTATGCATCCTTGCCCAAGACACGGAGAGCGACACGTGACGGCTAGACCGAGCGTGGAGGAGGAAGCGGGGGAGGAAGAAAGGGGCGAAACAGTCGGATTTACCTGGGCTCTCTTCCTGACATCCTGAGGAAGAGATCATATAGGAATGCTGGCGCCTTGTGGCTTACAGCAATCCAGTACTGATTGATAAGGTGATTGGTTGTGAGATTTACATTTGGCCGCCTGAATGCCTGCGAACCAAGAACAAAGCAATATGCGTAATTTGCAATGCTCAGGTGAAATACTATAGTAATATTACAAATCTGTGGAAGTATTTGACATCACACGTAAAGGCGCCATGATTTCCGCAATGAATGAATGGCGGATGGTGCAGCGCACTGTTTTGTTTACTACACACATACTAAAGCGCGGACGACGCTCACTATGTTTTCAGCCTCTGTTGTCTCACTATGATGATATGAATACACGAATATCATCTCCAGTTGCTCTGTGCTCTGAGAGTCAATTCATTAGCATTTTACCGTTTAATTTGAGAAAACTACCGTCATATCTTACTACTACTACTAATAATAAATCTTTATTTTTAAAGAAATAATCACATTTGTTTTCTTTTTAATTTTAAGAGTAAACCTCTGTTGTGCAGCACTTTGTTTGCCAAAAATAAAAGGGTTTAATTTTCATTTGATTAGGATAAATTCAATTAATCGAGAATCAAACCAAGAATCGAATCGAGAGCTTGTGAATCGAAATCGAATCGGGACATCTGAATCGATACCCAACCCTAAAATATTAAGATCTTTTTCAAAGCATCATATTGTAAAATTCAGGGCTCAACATTAAAGATGGTGAGAGTATTTCATACCAGTTAACAGAACTGTAATTTATTTTAAATTAAACACAATATACTAAAAAAAAAGAATAAATATACTTAATATAAATAAATAAATAAAATATTTTATACTGAATACTAAACACTATATTATACACTAAATATATAACAAATATACTATTATATAAAATATTAAGTATCATACTGTATATACACAGTTGTGGTTAAAATTATTAGAACACTTGGCATATTTAAAGGGGTCATATGATGCGATTTCAAGTTTTCCTTTCTCTTTGGAGTGTTACAAGCTCTTGGTGTAATACAGTATATATATATATGCACTTCTATCTGATACATTAAAAATAAAAGACTTCTGTGGCTTGGGCAGTAAAAATATGGGAAGGGCAACCACAAATCTGAACTACAGTTCTGACTGGGCCAGCAGAACGAGAAAAAAAAAAATCCTCATTGTTGAGTCATGTTACTTATAATAGGACTGCTCCAACTGCAACACAATGCTGATTATAACCAAATATTGATTTGTATTTTAACTAATTAACTATGGTTGAAATGGTTCCAGTAGAAAATGTAAACAGTAAGACTCAGTACAAACTTGTACTGTGGTTCATCTAATATCGCTGATATAAATAGATATAAATGTATCCAGTCTGACTGTATTTCAGTCACTCATCATAGTCCTAGTCAAACCTGTTTTAAGAGTTAACTAGAGACATGTTTGTTGTCATAACAGTAACAACAGCAGCAAAGGCATTGAGACATATTCTCAGAAACGCTTCATTAAAAGGGAGTTATATCGCTCAACTTAAATCACAGTGAGAAGGATTTCTCACTGAAACAAGTTTTACAGCTAGTATTGAGTATATAT